TGTTGATGCACTGAGACGAGGAGCCACACTGAAACCTCCCCGAACAGCTCAGGCCCACTGTAGGCACAGATGAAACTGTCGATAAGGAAGGTTCTAGAAGTACTGAATGATCTTGTTCAGTGTTCGGTAATACTGCAGACACAAAGAGAAAAGATGGGCAACCTGCATTGTTTCCTGTGGGCACCAGGCAGGAACACCTCTGCTGGTCTGTAATAAGGTATTTTGTTGCTTGTGTGGAGTAAATGTTATTTTTGTTTCAGTATTTTTTGTATTTATTGATTATTTACTGAACATTTTATTAATTTGTGTGATTCTGTCTGAGTTGCCATGTTAAGTTTTGTGAATTAGAGCTTTGATAAATAAAAATAATGCTCCACTAAATTCTGCGTCTGTCATTCTTGGTCATTCTTCACACAGTCCTATTAAGGTTGTGACCACCAACCACGTGACATATCGAACGTGCAACAATCCTGACACTTCAGTGGCTCCATTTTTGCAAAATGTAGAGAGTTACCACAGCACTGAGCTCCTTACATCCAAGGCCAACGCTGAGCAGGACAGCCACCCCGAGGATGCAGCAAACAGCGAATATCAGAACGGCAAAGCGATGGGCTAAGATTCTGCTCTTCCAGCTTTTATCCATGTCATCTTCTGTGGACAGACGGGGTTAGTGAAAATTCGCTGTGCCAACAATATACAATATGAGCACCTGAGTTTCAAAAGTTTTTCATCTCCAACACTAAATGGCTCTTAAGTTTAGGCTTTATTACACTGACTGTGTGCTTTATTTAGTCATCGCATTTTACATCCGAGGAAACACACTGTGTCCCTTTGCAAACACTGATCTAGCAGCAAGATTATTTTGACATTTTTCAAGACGATTGTCAAAATAATTTTCTTCAATATTACTCAGACCTTTTTGGTAGAAAGCAAATTGTAAAAGTCATTTTAAAAAGGGAGACGTAAAGACGTTCATGTAAGAAAGAGCTGAATCTGTAAAAGATCTTTTGCATTGTATTTAGTTGGATTTTGTGCTGATCTCCTTTTAGTTTTAGCCTTGAACAGTAATATTTCCATTATGTCATGCAAGTACATATTCACCCCTGGAGTATCACAGCATCTCACCATGCATAAATGGCTGCACTTTGGTAATGGGCATGGCTGGACTGGGTGGAGGTTGGGGATCTGTGGGTTTAGTGCAATAGTTCCCTGACTGTGGCTCAATGACAAAGCTGCCCAGGGGGCTGATGTTCAGACTGGTGGGGGTCTCGACAGTAGGGAGGTCTTCTTCTGTCACCGAGACCACATCTATCGTGGAGGAGCCTGGTTGCTCCGGTGCGTCTTTCTTTGGTTCCTACGTGTAAGATTGAAAAACAAAAAGGGCAAATCAGATACAATACAACTCTAACAATGTTCAGTTTATTTGATAAACTATGTGACATTTACAGCCAACACAAGACTTGCTAGAAAAATGTTTGTGTTATGTGTGACTGTCAAACTAAAACGTCTAAATACCCAAATTTGCTGTAAACCAGAACTAGCTTGGGCTAGCAGCAACATCTGGGCCTGATGATTAAATAGTTGAATTGTTTTCCTAATTGAACTATAAGTCATGGACATGACTGCTCGGGCCCACAGGTCAGCTGACACTGGCCACCATAACTGTTTTAAACACTGGATTAACAAGTATGCAAGTGTGTGTGTTAAAACTATATAAGTAATGAATGCTGCTTGTTAATCAAACTGGCTAAACAAGGCAGATAACAAAACGCTCCACCCTCTCATCAAAATATGATAAATTGTAGCACAAACAAACAAACAAACAAAACGGTCCCTGCCAAATTGCTAATGTTGAGAACTTAAAATGCAAATTCCAGTGGTTATGTCCACCTGTCAACAATTTACATGAACTTGAAACGAGTCGTCACTCATCCAGGTGACTTCTTCAGTCTCAGCTGACTGACCCCAATCTTATAAACAGTACATTTGCACAATGACTGCACCACTGCACCATTAGCACCACTAACGAACAATGAGCTGGGAGGTCAGTTCCTTGATCATTAAGATGCAAATTTTATGACCATTGATGAACAACAACAAACATCCTTTTCAAAAGGTGTTTGAATGAACTGAGAAAGCTCATCTAGCTCAGCAAGAAAAGTCTAAGACCAGGCAACGAAGGACGTTTGACTTATTTGCTGCGTGCTGTTCGTTTGGCTTACTTATTGTAATATGGTGCTCACATAACTTAGTAATGACAACAACGTCCAGCAGACATGGGTAGGTGCACGATTCTGCCAAACTAGAAAGACTATCATGAGAAAACTTTGTGAGACGTGAGAGATGGAGGCAGATGAAACCATGGTCTTGTACGATGTTACATCTCTCTTCACTTGCATCCCAGTCACTGAAGCGTTGGGGGTAGGTTGTAAGAGATTACAGGATGACCCCAACCTCAGCAACAGCACCACTCTCAGCATCGACCAAGCGCGTTTGCTTTTGGAACGGTGTCTTCTCTGTGAATGGTTCTCATGGACATTGATCATTGGTTGCTGATCAATGTCCATGAGAATTTGCATACTAATTATCAAGGAACTGAACTTACTGCCAATTGTTCCTTCAGTGGGCTGGTTCAGTCATTATGCAAATGTACTGTTTATAAGATTGGAAACCTGCAGTCAGCTGAGACTGAAGAGGTCACCTGAACGCTACGTCCAGATGAACTGAATCAACCTTTTGTGATTTCCTTACCTGGATGATTGAGCGTGCATCAAGACAATTTACTTGAACAGACCTCTGATTAACAGATGAAATTCTATTGGCTGGGATTAGATGAGCCATCATGCCGGGGGACAAGTGTGATGTAGGGAGCAGGTTGTGGTGAATGTATTAATCTGTCAAAGGGCTCTTTATCCCGAGTTGATTGGGGTTTGATTATAACCAAAACAATTCTTTTTTCGGATTAAATTTATTTACATTTTTGCCCTTATTATCCTCACTTTTCACTTTCAGATTGGCACAAAATTCCCTTAAGAGAAGGAAAAGATTGACAGTCTGGTCGTAAAATTTGGAGCTTTACAAGATTAACAACAAGTTTTACGAGAATCTCTGGCAAATAGCCCTGAAATGAAATATCTCTCTTGTTACTTTCAGATAAAAGCCTGACTAACAAAGCGGTGTCTGGTCACCTTCCTGATAAAGACACGTGTTACTCAGCTTTTGGCAGCAATCAAAGCTTGGTTTATAGCATATAGCATATACTTAGGGCTGGATCCTAAAACCTTCCTTTGTTACGCTGCAATATGCAGGGGACACGCAACCTCCGGGTGGCTTCCCCTGATGTCCTCAATCACCTTTTTTACTGTCTATGAGCTCACACAACGCTTTTCATTTAATCATTAGTAATTACTAACTTCTGTCTCTCTTATTAATTTCTGTCCCGTGTCTCTCCACTCACCTCCAACTAGTGGTGGCAGACGGCTGCCCCTCCCTGAGCCTGGCTCTGCGGGCGGTTTTTCCTTCCCACTGTCACCAGGTGCTTGCTCATAGGGGTTGTTTAATTGTTGGGGTTTTCTCTGTACTATTCTAGGCTCTTTACCTTACAATATAAAACGCCTCGATGTGACTGCTATTGTGATTTGTAGCTATATCAATAAAATGGAATTGTTTTTAACAGAATTGTCTGAAAATGACAGATGTCTTTATTTTTCTTGCTTTGCAAAAACATGTCTCGTTGTTGTTGCCTTGTGAATGCAGATTAATGAGATTTTGAATATATGAATTTAAATTTTTATTTATATCACTAAACATATTTATAATTCAGCGTTCAGATCGATAACAAACTGTCAGGAAATTATTTTAGTGAAAATATGTTCAAATGGCTTAAAATAATGTAAAGTTTATTTATATAGCCCTGCTTATGAACACAATTCACAAAGTGCTTTTAAATACAGAATAAGAAACAGCGATTAAAATGGTGTAAATAGTTAAAACTAAATAAAGGAAAGCCTGAACAGCCGTGTCTTCCAAGTGAACTGTATATGATTATAGTTTGTTATTTACATTTACAACCTTTAGATTAAAACACAGTAGCTTTGTTAGTCACTCTGAAGCAGTAACTCATGTCTAAGGCATGGATGTTACATAACCCCTGGTGGCCTTCAACGAAGAAGAAAATACAACGTTTCTCATGCACTCGATTTTGTCCACTTACTGTTGAGGTGGATGATGTGTTATCAGCACTAGCAGCAGGACCTGTGGGAATAAAGAGACAGCGCTACAGAGAGGTAACTGGAGATGTTACTGACAGAGTAGATATAAATTCCTAAATAGATTCCTAAATTCGAAATTATGTCCAACGTACTGATCTTCTCACAGTCTTCAGTCATCATGCCATCGTCCACACTCAGCTACACTTTGACTAAGACCTCAAACTCCCTAATATCTCTTCATTATGATCACTGTCTTTTTCCTTTTTCGTCTTTGTCCTAATGGCTGCCCTCCCGCTGTGCCTCCGCTCTGATACAAACTGACACCTGAGCAGGTAAATGTTCCCACACAGCATGAAGATCAGGTGACGCTGTATCTCCTGCTCTGTGGGTTGGGTTACAGAGTGTATTGGAAGCATAGAGACAAGTTTGGGAGGAAGAAGGCTGTTGATCACCTGAACATTGATTCCTGCAAACAGACCTCTCTGAATAAGCAGGAAACAGCTGGAGAGTAAGTACAGCACATACACCTCTTTGTGAACTGTGAATTCAATGAAACAGTATTTACATATTGCCAAATCACAACAACAGCTGCCTTAAAGTGTGTTATATTGTAAACACTCAAAGGGTTTACACGACATGCACTCCCCAAACATACTCTATACTCCCAGGTCCAGGTATCACCGCCCCCAGGGGGGCAATCAGGCCCCAGACCCAGGAGATGTTACCCTTTTCCCTGGGTAAATTCAATTCAATTCAATTTTATTTATACAGCGC